TTTTTTTCGTAATTAATTATTTTTATTTCACTAGTTCTTTATTCTAAAAATCAAACCACCTAATTTGTTTCAAATCTTAAATGAAATAATTACTTTTAACCTAAATCAAATTATGATTATTTTTTTAAAATTTGACATGCGGAGTAGAATATAAATTTTCGGCATTTTAGTTTGTTAATCTGATAGAGTCAAAATATTAAAATTTTATTGTTTTCAATTAATTTCAGGAATGAGATTAAAAAATGTAATCTTTACATTGACCTAATTAATCTCAACCCCGATATTTTATCCATTGCAATGTTATTTCCATCCTAACGTTCTAAAGGTTGACAAAAACACGAGTCATGGACGGTACAAATCATCGCATACTCATAATAAATAATTGTTTTAAAAAATAGCTTTATAAGACAAATCATATGAGTAAATAAAGAGGGGAGTGTGGCTAGGTACAATCTTAGGGTTGATGTAATAATTCAAGGAGAAGGGCACGCCCGCATGCCAATTGTTGGAGCCTTTAGTGAGAGAAATGATGATTAAAAAGAAGAAAATGATAATTAAAAAAAAACTCAATCAATTTAATATTTTTGAGTAGAAAATTATATTTCAAATATAAATACAACAAATTCATTAATCTTATCAGCATAGGTCAACACAATTAAGGTAAATTGTGTATATATATTTAACCAAAAGATGATGAATTCGAATTATTAATCCTTTTTTATTCTTAAATTAACAAAACCGTTTTTTTTATATAAAAAAGGTACATACGAATATTATGTTATTATTATTGTTGTTATTATTATTAAATTAGTTTATATTAATTTTAAATGTTATTTGGTAGAACATATATGAATTTAATATTTTTTAAAATATTTAGTATTGACTATTAATTCTAAGAATATTATATAATTGTTGACATTTCTAATGGAGTGTATTTTTACATGGTTAAATTAGAAAAATTAATGGAAGGGAATACTATTATTTCTATGGATTTTTTTACCAGTATAATTAATATTAAATTTAAGAGAATTTACCCAAATAAATGAATATGCATGTTTCTCAAAAATAAAGGATAAATTAATAGGCATGTTATGCAATTTATTTTTTTTAAAGCAAATGTTATACCATTTAATTGAGGTTTATTTTATAGGTAAATGTAATAAATATAATTAATTGTACAGAGTTTTTTTTTTTTAAATAATTGCATGATGAATGAATACATTTATTAATTTTAACTATAAAATAAAATATAAAAAATCAAAATCAAATATTCCAAGATTTAAGCTCGTGTTACAAAAGGGTATAAAAAACTTGGACACCTTAAAATACTCGAATATCTTGAAATAATTGAATATCTTAAATTTCTATAAAACAAGCACAAAAATTGGCATGATAATATTAAATTCTCAATAAAGGGGCTGGCAATATTTTTTATTTTTTTATTTTTATTTTTTTTTTGACAAAATTCTCACTAAAGCCTTAAATCAGGTCAATGTTAAATATCAAAAAATGCAGAAAGAGGATTTTGTGCCTTAAAATTGAAGCAAATAAAAGGCTTTTTATTTTTAATTTTTAATTTGCCAGCCTGGCAGTGCTTTTTTTGGCATTAATATTTAGGGGATAGATTGTAGCTTAGGTTTGTTTAGTTGACATTAACATTGATGTCCACTTTAATTGACCTTGAAGGAAACATAAAGTTTGCATTAATTTGATTCATTATTTCTCACTTTATAAAAAGCTTAAATTTACTAATTACTGAACAATTATTTCACCTACCTGTTCTACTTTCTTAATTTCCTCGAAGTTAATTAGATTCTTCTCTAGAAGATAATGTTAATTGAAAATTTGATCTAGAGAAGCAAAAATAAAATTTATTTGATATCATAATTTAAAATGGAAAAACGAACAAAATTATAGTTATTAGTTAGTTGTGATTAAACTATTGTTTTATTAAATATGTTTGGACATGGAGGGGCAAAGATAAAAATAAATTTTCTTAGAAAAGAAAAAAAATTAACTTCTAACTTTCATATATACACACACTAGTATGCTATTACATGCACACGCATAATTTTTAATTTAATTTAATTTTATAATAATATAATTAAAAGATTAAAAAAAAGCAATACCACTCAGTGTAGAAATAAAATAATAATAATAAATAAATAAGAAAAATAAGAGTTGTTTTTGTGTATACAAACCTTTACAAAATATATTTATTTTTTAAAAGGAAAAGATGTTAACCACTCACTTGATAATTGATAGAGAAATACGCTACTTCAAATTGACTCATATATCTCACACTCACACTCACACTCACTTAATATGTCAGGCAACATCTGGAGTTGCTTTCCAGATTACGAAATTTAGAATTGGTAAAAAATAGAAGGTAAGATTTTAATAGATTCCATATTTATCAACTGACAAATTGCATTTCAATTTCTATTAACTCTGAAACTAAATTTTCACCAATTACAATTGATTTATTAAACATTAGAAAAGAAAATTGGCCTAAGGAAGCATCTAGCCCAACCAAAGACAACAAGCAATGGTTTCTTAGATGGTAAGGAAAAGAAGGTTTGAGTTGGGTTAAGTGCATAGCCTTTTATCTTATAATTTAAGCTTCTAATATTCATTTCACTTTAACTTTACCAATTAGGCAGCAATCCTTTTTATGAAATTATAATATCAATTATTTTCTCTTTCCAGAAAAAAAAAATATCATAAAAAATCGTTATATTTTATATCCAATTAAAACTACCCAAAGTCACCCTCATATTTTTTTGAAGCAAGGCCCAAAGACTGTTTAATGGAAAGGAGAATTGTGATTTTATTATTGTTTTATTCTTTTTCTTGTCGATCTTTGATCACAACTTTAAGAAGATATGTGTTATCGTATGTGTCATTTCATTCTTAAAAATTTATTTGGTTCAACAACACGTCGAGGAGGGGAAAATCTGGAGATTAAAATTCTTAATAGTCTTTTGATCGAAAATATATATGTTTTAATCAATTGAACTAACTTGAATTAATCGTTCACAACAATCTGAATATTGTTATAATTAATCAACGATCTTATGTCATTAGATTTACATCAAGTAAATGTGTCAAAAAAAGGATGTATATGATGTTGACAATACAAAAACATTAATCATATAGTATAATTAAGTTAGAGAATGAATGGTGAATTGAGGTTGGGTTATTATAACAATTCCTTATATTTGAGGGTTTCTAAGCAAGTGGGATTTTTGGGTATATGTGCAAATATAGCATTTTTACCAAACAAGAAATCTTTTCAATTGTCTAGTTTTAGGGGTATGATTTTATTTTGTTATAAAAAGTGGGGCCAATGTGAAAACATTTTCCAAGTGAGACTTTTAAGTAGCAATCAAAAATTTGGAAAGCATAAAAGGGAGGCAACTGTGAGAGTGTGTGGGTCCCAATCCAAACTTTTTGACAATAGAAACCAATTTATCATTAAAAGGGTAACCATCCAATCCAGAGGAAAAGGACAATAAAAAAAAAGGGGAAAAAACCTTTTTATTTATTTATTTTTTTATATATATAAAGAAATTCTATTTTATGGAGTTTGTTGCATAAAATAGTATTATTAAAGTACAAATCAATAAGCCATGTTTTATAATTATTTTGTTTTTGGTTTTTGAAAATTTGGTTTGAGGTGGTAATTAGATAACTACTTTCATCTCAGTTTTGTTATATATTAAAAACCATTTTTATCTAATAAAAAGAACGATTTTAAAACTCAAACCAAAACTTCGAAACTAAAAGAAGTTGTTTATACTTTTGTTATTAAAAAGTAAAAGTATACTTAAAAACATGGTGAGCAAATTAGCATAATTTTGAAAAACAGAAAACAAAAAATGAAATGGTAACCTAACAAATAAATAACGAGTTCAACCAATATAATATAAGAATATAAATTTAAATTTATTTACATATGGTATATGATCATTCTTTTTTACAAAAATATATAATCAATTCGATTATTGATTAATATATCTATTAAAATTTTAAAACGCAATAGAAAAATACCCATAAAAACTTCACTTTCGTCTGTACCCGTTTGGCCCCTTTTTATTAACTTTTTTTAAAAAATATATTTGATATGACGATAACCAGAAATTAGGGATGTTCATGATTTTTTTTTTCAGTGAAAGAATTATTATTATTATTATTTTTTAAGATCTTGTTAATTTTTCCATGAGTACAACATAAGATTTTTTTTGTTTTAACAGTTGAATTATGCTAAAGTCGGCTTTTTAAGAATCTATTAATATGCCTTCGTATACTGAACTAATAATAGTAGTTCGATATCATATTCATTTTAGGAACAATAATTTTGCAATAATACTTCAAGTATTTATTGCTATTTTGGGGGTTTGCTTTGCTGTGTGAAAAAAAAGGGAAAAATAAAATCCTAAAATTGATGGAAATGGGCCCAGGATGCAGTGTTGTCATTATGCCTCAGACAGAAGAAAATGGGCCCATAACTGAAGATTCTTGGTTCCCAAGCTTATCATTCAGGCCCAGTTGTCTCTTTAAAGGGATGCAGATTCCTCTGGCTTTTTATCTGAAAATCAGTAACGAGTGAGAATATATATATATATAGACACACACGACACAAATGATTTACGAGGTTTACATTAATCATAGAAACCAAATTGAAATCTTCAAAACCATAGAGACTGGATTAAAACTAAAATTGCAACTTCTAAAATCATAAGAACCAAATTCAAACTTTGCGCAAACCATACAAATCAAATTTGTAATTTAACGATATATACATATATATATTTTGTACGAATCAATAACTATTCAAATAAAATATGAAGGAAAAGAAAAAAAAAATCAGAACTCGTTCAGTACAGCAGACAGATTTAATGGATGAAGTGTTTTTTGTCAAGTAGGGTTTAGGGTTTATTGAATTCACAGAATAATCTTCATCTTTGATTTTAATGCCATAAATTTTCCTATTATTCTAATTTGAAACTAAAATAGAATCAAGATCAAAGTGAAGATTCGAAGTATAAACATCTGGAACGTGAACAACGGGTAGCCACAACTTGAAGAAAGAGACATCATTGAGTTAACGACAAATTAAAGTGGGGGAGAGTGTGACAACCAAAATCGAGACAAGTGTGTTCCTGTCCCGATGTGATTAAGGAGGATGGTGCATCGTGTAAGCATTTGCAACTTAATGTCATGTCATTGTCACCCTGCACAACTTTAGAAGAGAAATCAAATACATTGATTTTATGCAACTTTGAAGAGAGAACTTAGGTTCAGAGATTTTAAATCGCAAACTCGACGACATTTCATACAAATGTCGATGATGCTCCGAATGCAAGCTGCAGAGGACATGTGTTCTCCCCAAACACAGCTTGTTTCGTCTCCTGAAGATGTTATTAATTAACAAAATGCACAGCAAAACAGACTAAATTATGTCTCCCATTTTCTTTCAGACGCCTACAGAACAACTATTCCGGAAGAAAGTTCACATCAAAGCACTCGGTTTACGCATGTCCTGCATCGATTACAATCTCGGACTCCATAAGCATTGGGAGGAAAAGATTATCGGTTAAGAAACTTATCTGATTCAGAACCAATTCAGAGTATTCAGAGCTGGAAAGTGGAGAATGCTGATAGAAATTCTGAGTTTTTATCGGCAACAGCAAAAGATAAAATCAAGACACAGCAAAGAAACTAAGCACTTAACCCGATATGGCGAGTATCTAACCTCATATATAAAGATGCTCCATACAGAGTTGCTTCACTTAAGCGAACTAACTTTTGGAACCAATAAAGTTTACTCGAACCACAGTTCCACACGATTACACGAAGAAGATGACGAAGACCATATTCTTGAAAGGATATTGAAAACAAGAGAGGGTATGCAAGCATAAACCATTCAAAGCAAGAGTTAAATCACTCAACATGGCAGAAGATTCTTGCATTTCTAAAATGTATAACCAGCGGTTCAAAATCTTGGGATGGGTTCGAACGGAAGACGAATCTCCATTCGGTACCTGGCGGGGACTGGAAAATCTATGGCTGCTTTATAAACAAAGCATATTGTCAAGTAAAAATCATGTACAGTCATGAACATAATTCCTGCTTTATAAACAAAGCATATAATTCCTGTACTGTAGAAGTATGGAGCAATATTTTCAGCTGCAAGAACAAGAATCTTCTTAGAAGGGTTAATCCCTGAATACAAAACAAGGTTGCAACTCATAACTCCATAATCTTCCACACAAAACAAGGGTGTTAACAAGGCAATCCCTGATTCTTCATCAGAAGTTTTCTACTTTGTATTAGAAATTGAGTACATTGAAAAAGAAGAGTGGGATGGTAGAGAGTCAAATTCAAACCCAAGAAATTGGGKAAGAAAATAAAGTTACCTACTCTACAATGCATTGGCAAATGGTAACTCTTTAGTCCAGCTCTAAACTAACCATATTAACAAATGAAATTAGAGAGAAGAAAGAGAGAGCAAAAGAGTGTTGGATACAGCCAGAGCCAACCACAAACACAAGAACGATCCACAAATGAAAACTCCAAACAGCGATAACGATGACCAAACCAAAAATTTTCAAACTCAATCAACTCTCTTAAAGGAATTGTACACATGACAAGCAGAGATTTTATGTGTTCAAAGACAAAGTTCTAGATCCCACCATGAACTCCAAGCCAGCTATGGGGAAAGATGCAAAGAAATTCGGGAACATTCAAGAGATAAGAAAGCATATATTAGATTAGAAGGGAAACAACGACCAGAGCAAGTGAGACTGCTCATTAGAGAGAGAAAAAAAGGCTAATCTATAACTCTTCTTAGTAAGTTGTTCATCAGAGAGGCCAGTTCCTAAAAGTGTAGTAATTGGTTCTACTAAGGAACCAATAAATCTCCCCTATTACAGTAATGACCAATCAAGGTCCCCCAAGGATAAGATAGTTGAAGAAACCAAAAGAGAAAGGGGGGAAGAAAAGAAGTTCTAACAGAGTATACCCATTTGAGGAGCCATTAAAACAATCTCCACCTTGCTGATTCTCACTACTTATTCTTGATGGTGATCCCAAGTTCACCTGCAACAATCAAAGTGGTGGCCATACCAAGAAACATCCCGTGCTCAACAACACCAGCAAGCCGCAAAATCTCATCACTGGCAACGTTCAAATCCCCAATATCTTTCTTGAAATACAAGTCCACGATGTAATTTCCATTGTCAGTAACGAATGGTTCGCCAGTTTCGCCTGAGGTTCTGAGTTTTGCAACACAACCAGAAGCTTCAAACAGCTTCTGCAGGCGCATGGCGGTGAAGTTCCAGCAGAAGGGCACGATCTCTACAGGCATGGCGAGCCCGCTGCCTCCCACATACTTAACCAGTTTCGACTCGTCTACAATCACAACAAATTTCTTGCAAGCACCCTCCACCATTTTCTCCCTCAAGAGAGAGCCCCCTCGGCCCTTCACCAGATTGAGATGAGGATCGACTTCATCGGCGCCGTCGATTGCGAGATCGAGGATTGGGTGCGAATCAAGGTCGGAGAGCGGGATTCCTAAGGAGACGGCTTGTTCGTGAGTCATTTTGGAAGTGGGAATTCCTATAATGTTCTTCAATTTGCCTTGGCGTAACAGCTCTCCGATTCGATCGACGGCATGCCTGGCTGTGGAGCCGGTTCCAAGGCCAAGGACCATGCCGGATTCGACATATTCGACGGCCTTGTAAGCAGCAATCTTCTTCAATTCGTCTTGGGTCAGAATTCCCGGCGACATTGGCGGAGCCAGAAGCCCAGATGGTGCGGAAGAAGGTACCACAATGCCGGTTTCCATGGCGGATTTCTCCGACCCAATGAATCGGCGGTAGTAAGGAATAGCCATAACCGAGAACTTAAAAACCTTCAAAATCTAATTCGAAAAAGTGAGGACACCCCTAAATCAAAAGGGGGGCAACATGGGGCCTTGCGAATTCAAAAAACACAAATGAACAAATAAAGTCGAACGTAATCAATCACAGGAAGACACAGAGCAGAAGCAAAAAGGGAAAAAAAAGCTGAATCGAGCTACCGTCTGGGGAAGAGTGAGGCAGATCACGCGAACCCCAGTGGATTGAAAGTGTGAAGGAAGGAGGTTATTGATAATGATTTCTGTTTGGTTCTCGGGGAAAAAGTGGAACAATTGGCTCCATTTTATAGAAATGGAAGAATCGGATCAGGAATCAACGAGGAACTTCATAAAATAAAGCAAAAATTTCTTCGCATTTTAGAATTTGACGGATTTTTCTCTCTCTCTTTCAACAATTTGGAATTTTGACAGATTACAAGACGCGGCGCGGGAAATGAGCTTCCCTAGAAACTGTCCATTGACACCAGATTCCCCATCGACGGCTCATTCCCCGATGTTCTTCTTTATTAATTTTACCCTAATTTTTTTTATTTAAATTTATCGTAAATGTTGGAGTTTTTATTAATTTTTATCTTAATGATTTTTTTTGAGTACTTTATCTTAATGAATTTCCATTTACATAATCGTAGAAAAACAAAATTTGTATTCTCCTATGAGTTTAATAAATCATAAAATATATACCTAATACGGAATTATAGAATTAAAAAAAAATATATATATATACATATATTTATGGGTGAAATTACCCACCAAATTTTCAACAATTAAGGTGAAGAAAGCTTTTCTCAAAAAAAAAAAAAGTGAAGAAAGCAATCGGGCCAAGCCATTTGAGTCGGACCACCCAACTAGACAAGATCTGAACTAATCCACTCGAACTCGAACCAATTCAAGAAGACTCCTCTATAAATAAGATGAGAGACAAGGTACACTCTCACAACTTCAGTCTACTACTCTCAACGTAACTCTTTGCGCTATTCTCAATAGATATGAATTTTTTTTAATTCGTAAATTTCGACATAATTATTCTATGGTCAATTTTCATAACGATCAAATTTAATTTTGTGTAAGTTTGATTTCATTGAAATTAGTACGTTTTTGGTTTTAGAGATTTCTATATTATTTTTCGTGAAAACCAGTAGACGGGTTAGAAATTTTTTTAAAAATTACGATAATGATAACATTTATCTAAATCTAAGGTCTATTTTAATAAAACTAGAGTTTTAACTCGTGATAAGTTTTAATTTTAACTTTCTTTTATAGTTATAAAACAAGAAGAAAAAATAAATTTAAAAGGATATACTTCATTCATGCCCCAGTTTTATTACTTATTTATATATAAAAATGTGGTTTCCAAAATTCCATCATTTTTGGGACGCAGACGAGGAAAATTTAGAAAGTCAAAAGTATAGAAATTATCTAAAATTTGGAGTATATTTTATCAAAGAGAAAAAGGAAGGAAATGAGATGGAGAAGTTTCGTTTCTCTTTGATAATTTTTCTTTTGACCCCGTGGTGGCGCCATCAAGTGCCAGACTTTATCCCTATCTTTTGTAGAGATAATTAATTTTTTAAATCGTATTTTCTAATGTCGTAGTCTATTTTTTATTTTTATTTTAACTTTTATACTTCTAAATGATTTATTTTGGTTATTTCATTTTTTTATCACAATTTCAATTCGACACCACATCCGATAAACTTCTTCAAATTTAATACATATACTATAATGAAACAGAGTTAAAATACATTATAAAATAATATTTAAATCTTATTATTAACTATTTAGTACAAATTTGATTGCATTTCAAGATGATGTGATTTTGAATACTTGTCCACTAAAATTTACGACTAAAATAATTTTTTTTTCTTTTTTTATTTATAGGATTGTCTCATCATAAGAATGAAGATACGTGGGCCAATCTTAAATTAAAATTGTACATTGGTCAAACAAATAAACAAGGCATGTAATTTGCCTTCATTACAATTCTCAACACATAGACATTGTTATTGTTATCAACTCCTTGGTATAATGCCTTTATGCCCTCAACCAACATCCCTATCTTTTGCTTTATTTTTCTCTCATCTCACATTATTACCATTCTTTTTTATTATTTTAAATATAATATCAAATAACCATTAAACATATCTACTTGTCTTCTCTTTAGGTTTAATTACAAATTTAACTCATAAATTTTGCGAGATAGATACTAAAACTTGATTGTATCTTATAAATATTTGAAGTTTTAATTTAGTGTCTAATAAATCCATACAAAATTGAAAGTTCATGAACTAACATTTTAAAAAACGACACATATAAAAAGAGTTTATGGACTAAATCAGTAACTTTTTTTTTCTAAAATAAAATATTGAAGAAAAGACTCCATATATATCAACAGTTTTCCAAATATGGACAAAATCAACTTAGTTCATCGGTAATTGATATACTTTTATGACAAAAAAGTAATGAATTCGAATCACTCGACCCCATTCAAAAATGCAATCTCTTTTAGAATGAATGGATTAGAATTTGGACCAAATCACATTAAAAAACAAATAAAAACAATTATAATTTAAAAAATGATGTTCACGTGTATAAATATCAACATAAAAATGGGAAGACATTGTAAAATTCAAAACAAACAGGCAGTTTTCATTCTTCAATGGACAATTTGGAGCTCATCTATGGAAATATATATATAAAAATTTTCTTCTTATCTCTAAAGCATGCCCCACAGAAAATCCTTCCTAGTATGTAACAATTATATTTACAATATTATAAACATTTTTTAGATATTTAGTCATGAATTAAAGTTGTTTTTTTATTCAAAGAACTAAAACTTGACTCAATCAATTTTAGATTAAGCATTTCAAATTGGATGGGTTATTTCAGTTTTTGTGGTTGTCTGAGTTATTTGAATGTCTAAAAATAAAGAATAATACTTAGATGCTTACCGATCCACACCCATTTTTGTGTTGACTATCAACAAAACTTTGAGAGCTTTGAAAAACAAATAAATATCATTGTTTATGCATTTCTCTGTTCTAATAGTAAAGAATTTGGAGGTAGAAAAAGATGAGAGCTGAAAAAACAGATCTTTCAATTCCAAAACAATATTCTATGATCTCAGGAAAGATCTAATTCTAAAATATCACAAAAAGATATTCAATGTTTCATCTTAATACCTCAAGCGGCAAAGGAGTTTGTAGAAATGTTGGGGGAGCTGGAAAAACTCACAAAGAGGAGTGACGTTTAAAAGTTGAGAGCTTCCTAGTCTTTACAGTGTAATCTTGGACTACAGCGACCTGCGCACAACCTAAGAAAGAAAAATAAGTCTGGGATACTATAAAACAAACTTGATAAATAATGGAAATGAGAATGAAAAATAATCACAACCTTCTTCTTTGTAGGCTCTGCCAACGGAACGATTATCAAAATTAGTTGACAGTTCTTACTGTGCAATCCATCAACTTACACGGGGACTCGAGTCTCAACGGAATCTTCTCTTTCTTTCGAGTCTCTATATAGAGTAAAACTCAAGGAGGTCGTTGTCCACCATTATGAATGAATTTGTTTTAAAAGTTAAATATTCAAATCTTCACTAAGCTAATACATACAACAAGGGAGGAAAAGGAAAAACAAACAAACAATGATGCTTTGTTTGAACAAAAGCACATGATAAGGAGTGGTGCAACCCAATATCATTAGGCTTTCAACAGCCATCAGCAGCAAGACATCAATCATTTAATCATCAAACATATACGACTATCTTGAAGTATATAATAATATATACAGAAAGGGAGAAGAGAGCAAATATATGTTGCCAGAAGAGAAGTGCAGAAGCTTCCCTAACTGCATATCCTCTCAAGCTGGCAATTGCTCCCAATAAAATAGCACTTGGGGTAGTGTATTGCAACAGAAGCACAAACCTGAACATTGGATCCCCAGAGACAAGAAAATTCAGCTTATCAGCCAAGGTGACTATCCCGATTCCGAACAGGGGAAGCACCAAGAGCCTTGCTATGATTATACTGATTGTAGTTTGATGGCTCAATTTTGATATGTTTGGGCCCTCCGCAAGCATACCCCCAAGAACAAGCATCACAGAAGGCACTGTTGCACGGGCTAAAATTTCTAGGCTGTCTTTAACAAATGATAATGGGGCATCATAGTCGAAGAAAAGTGATTTCAGTCGTGGAATCAGCCCAATAATGATGGTAACTAGAGAAGCAATTGTCGGGGGTTGAAAGATGTGTTGTATTGGAGTTTGCTCAGCAACAATCTTCATCCTCCTAACTACATCGGGCTGAGCCAAGCAGTTGATGGATTTGGGACTGTCAGTACTACAGCCTCCTGAGAGTTCGATATCAGTAGAAGTGCTCTGCGATGTACTTGAAATGCTATTGAAAATTCTAGCAATGGTAGGCGTCTTAGAATGTTCTGTTTCTTTATCCTCAATTCCTGGCCATTCAGCTTCTACAAGGAGAGGCCTGCTAAAATCGTTATCAGCTTGTTCTTCTTCCATCTCAATACGTTCATCTACAATCTCACAACAATCCAGTGGAGGTTCCATCATGTGATAAACGAAGGTATAGGCAAGAATCACAGAAACCCATTGGGCAAGTGATACATAGGCCACCCCACTGGAGTGACAATGTTGTCCAAAAGGGTTGTCTCCAGTGTGACAAACTGACCCCACAATTGCAAGAGGGAGATTTCCAGTATTACCAAATGCTGTCATGATGACAGTCAATCTATTTAACTGAGGGGGTGGATGACATATAATAACCACCAAATACCCAAGAACACAACCGATGCCCGTGCTGAGTAGGACATTTATTGGGATAAACCACCACTGAGACAGATTCTCGAGCGTGATACTTCGGCCAAGTTCAGTAAAAATCAAGCAGGGCAAGAACAGGGCAAAAACAAGCTTGCTAAGCAGCTTAAACGTCGCTCTTGGGATGACCTTTGTCTTTGGGTGGGCAAGAACTAATCCAATTACTGTTAGGCACAGAAGTTTCAATAATGGCACAATTGCAGCGAGTGCGTCTTCTTCACTAGACTTAACGCTTCTTTCATAAAGCAATCTGAAGTATCCAGACATCTTTTCTCCAAGTATTACAGGAAGGCTGGAAGTTTCTTTTTCAACAAAGAGTAACAACAAGAGGTCCACCAACTCAAAAACTCAATGAATAGATAATTTCTTCAAGAGCACTAGCAGAAGTAAAATTAAATCTCAAAAAAAAACAAAAAAAAGCATATAGAAAGGAACAACCAGAATTACGTTCCACTTGGCTCGAAATACTAAACCGCAATGAGAGAACAACATCTGCAAAAGTTGATGATTATTGATTATAACACGCAATGTATCAACTAAGCGTAATTTTTCAATTGAGGAGAACGCTATTTGCTAACGAAAATCAAGACAATTCGTAACAAATCAAAAAACAAAAAAAGCAACTCAGATCTAAGAGGTCATATCAACAATGACAATAACAAGACTCGACTATGTAATATTAATCACGCGAGGTCGAGAATCAACATAGAAAATGACTGCAATGCATTATGCATAAGCAAGAAACTTAAAAATCAAATCATTAATCAAACTGAGAATTGGAAGAGCGAAGAAGAACTTACGTGCGCGGAAGAAAACCGGGAGCGCTCGAGAGAATGCCACGGGATGGCGTTTGAATGAATGGCGAACCGAAGCCTGCTTAAAATTTTATTTCATATAACTAATTTCTCCGGAAATTGCAAAAAATAACAACCCAAAAAGTTTTTTTTTGTCTCATTCTAATTTCCCACGCCAGCTTTACTTTATACATTTGACATTAAATTCCAACGTTAAAATAAAATTAAAAAAAAAAAGAGCTTTAACGGTTTGATTTATTTTAACAAATTTTTATTTTTTTCCTAACCCCTCACCAAAACATCCTGGACAGATCGGGAATTATTCTTCGTTTATTTTTTTAAATCTCAATTAAATGTTGATTCTTTACGAGAATTTCCATATTTTAAATTCCCACAAGAATTTCTATTTTTAGGAAAATTTAGTAAATTTATTGAATGTTTCATAATTCGTATACAAATTTAAAATTTTAATTTCAAAATTCAAATTATCAATACACATAAATGCCAGCTATAGTGCTAATACCCGAAGTAGTGAATTAGATATTTACCACAGGCCGGACAACTAGGAAGAGAAACGTAAATATCACAATAATGTCTTGTAAATTTTATATACATGTATTTAGGTTTAAGATTTTTAAAAAATGTATTATAGTAATAATATAAAATGAGTTCGAATGAGTATCTATCTTTCTTCTCCACGCTACCTCTAATAATTTATACATTTGAGATGGAATTCGAAGGCTTAAAATAAATAAATTATATAGGTTTTTAATGGTTTAATTTATTTTAAAAATTTATTAATTATAGTATAAATTATGATTTTCTCAAAAAAAAAAAAAAGAAGAAAAAGCCCGGACGGGTGGTGATTTATTATCCTTAAATCTCAATTAAGAATCTCACTCTTTGAATTCTCACAAAACTCCCTATTATGAATGAAAAATTATTAATTTTTGTAAGAATGTTTCATAACTCATAAAACAACAAATTATAAAATTTAAATTTCACAATTCAAATTATCAATATAAAAAAGTGTCACAACATAAACATATTCAACGTCTCTATTTAAGTCACAGAAAAAATTTCCCTCGTCTCACTCCATAGGATGCTTAAATGATAATTTTTTACTCATCTAAAGGGTCGTTTATTTTGTGAGAATTCAAAATTCTCATTTGACAGACATTTGGATTCCTACTTTGTTTTGCAAAATTGTAGACATCTCTAAGATGTTCATCCGGGAGACATGTGTTTTGGATGTCCTTTTGAAACACGGGTTTCCAATATATTCTCATGTCGAAGAAATCATCTCTTAATAGTTATGCCCTTCATTTTTTCTTCATATATTTTATTTATTTTTATTTTTAACTTTATAATTTTAATAAATCAATCTACTCAATTGACGCTTATAAATAAATTTATGCTATATTTATACATTACATTTACATTAAAAAAACAAACTTCTTCAATTAAATTATATACGATAAAATACACTTTTTAGTCATTGAGTTGGAGGATATATTTCTATAATTTGGTCTCAAAGTTTAAAAAACTGACAGTTTGACTGATTTTTATAAAATAGTTTAAAATATCCCTACACTCGAACTTATGTTACTGTCCCTGACAGAATGCTAATGTAACATTGATTAGTTTATAAATTTGAGATAATATGATGTATATCATTGGATATATAACAATCAAAACAAAACAAAATTTATTGATACATCAATAATCAAACTATATAAAAATAAAAACAAAACAAAAAAGAATTTATTGGTGATAGGAAAATGAGTAGATGCACCGGATAATCCCAACTATGTTAACACAATCTTAGCATTCTCATCATCTAGCCCATTCCAATAAATGAATAACATTAAATAATAATAAGAGTTTGTACATTGTTGAAGCTCATTAATTATAGAAATAAAATAAGTTATAACTAATTCTTCAAATATAAATCACAGTAGTGCATGACATCGAGGAATCTACCATAAGAAGGTATTAGAAATCCACGAAGGCACTCCAAATCTTTATGATTATCTTCCACCTCCACACTTCGCTCCACCTCCTCTAAAGCTTCTTGCAACGCTTGTCTTTGTTCTTCAATCGTAGGTGGTGCAAAAAGTTGTCGCTGTGCTTTCAAGATTGTACCTGCAAATTAAACCTTCTCTTCAGCATTGTCACTTGAGTGACTGTCTTCGACGACGACGGGGGAGTTCTGATCATCTGTTGTTGTGCTGCTACCATTGTGGTTGCAGCTGCAGAACTTCTAGTTGTTCTGGTTGGTGCCAAATTTCATGGTCCTCAGACAATTTCTATTCTGAAAAAGATCACATTTAGTACATATGGATAAAATGAACCTAACAAGTTTTACAAGATAAATGAGTTATTTCTCTCATGGCCAATAAATTTTCAGATAGAACTCTATGAATATTGATATGGTATCTAAGAAGCTCAAATGAGCACCCAGTCAAGATTCACCTTCTTGACGTCATCATGGGCTACTCTATCTCGATTAATTAGTTTTGAAATGAAATCCAAACCAGAATATTTCACTAAAGAGAATGAACCATTTAGGTTACATTTGAAACTTGGCCACCATTCAATATGGATAAGAGCCAAGATGGGAAACAAGAGTCCCAAAGAGGAGAAAGGTGACAACAGAGAGTACTCCCTTTTGGCCAAATATTATTCCTCTCTAGAAATATGAGCAAAACCAACCTCGTGGAAATTTGGACACCAAATCATACCAAAATAAATGAATAAATAAATAATAATAGTAATTTTTTCTCCCTCACCCTGCAATATTTGGCACACCTACTGAAAGAGAGGAGGGATGATTTTCCTTTTAACTCCGAACTTTGAACCGTACCTGAATCACACTCGAGGTAAATTTTCTATAGTCCATCCCTTTGGATATTTGAAAAACTTGGACTGAGATTCACAAGTATCTCGAGCCAAAAGATTCATGAAGGCCGATGAATCTCGGTCTACGTTTCGTATGAATGTTGGGTCGGGATTTACAAGGAGCATTAGATTCATCAAGCCCGGTCCAACCTTGGATTGAAATTCAATGGAATTATACACGTTTGAGATTTTAGAACGCGCGATTTTGACAAAAGAAATTTAATGATAATTGATTTTATGAAAAATCTTTTTATATAATTATTTTAACATTTTGTTTCACACCTTTTTAAATGATTCTTGTATAATTAAAGGTGATTTTGAATGATTAATATTTGAAGTTTAAAGAGATAATGTGACAAAAGTTTAAAGAGAGAAAAGTTAGAGAGTGAACAAACATATTAGAGAAATAAATTTTAAAGGGTGTGAGACAAAATTTGTAGACAACTAAAAACTTAAAAGATATTAAAAAATTTTAGAGAAAAAAAAAGTTAAAAAACACATTTAGTTATTGAATTTTCGTTAAAGTAACGATTTCGTCTATCAACTTTTAAAAGTAACAATTTTATGATGTACTTTAAAATTAGCTTTACCTTTAAATATTGCGTCAGATCTAGGGATGTTCATGGGGTGGGGTAGGGTGGGACGGGGACGGGGAAGGCTTCCCCGTCCCATCCTCGCCCCCCATTTAACTCTCCATCCCCGCGAAATTCCCCACAAAATTTTGCGGGGATCGGGTTTCCCGTGGGGATTTTTTCCCCGTTTATCTTTTAATTTACGATAAAAACTTTATTTATATGGTTACGGAAGGAGTAATAAGATTTTTTTAGTATATATATATTTTAAAGAAAATGCGAGAAGGAACGGGGAAGGGGGAACTGGGATGGGGAATGGATTCCCCGTCCCCATCCCCATTTAGGTGATGGGGAAAAAACTTTTCCCTACCCGCTCTATGGATAATTTAAACGGGGATTTCCCATCCCATTTAGGCGGGTTCTCCCGAGCATGGAGTCCCATAGGAAAAATGAACATCCCTAGTTAGATCACAGAAATCGAGTTGGCTACCACCTAAAATCCACATATACAGTGCAAAATTAGGGTTTGGACTAATTGTGGCTTTAAAAAAGAAAGGTAGAAAAATTCTAAAGAAAAATTGCCTCCCAATTTCCACCGCGGCTCTCTCGCTCTAATGCGTAGATCTGAATTTCTATATCTTTTCCTTTCATTATACTTATAAAGTTTAAAACTAAACTTATGATTAATATATATATTTTTTTATATATCCGTGTGTTCGGACCAACTTGCGCGTACCTCGACTAATCACGGATCAACTGTCTGATCCTACTACATTTAGTTGACAAGGTAACTCGTAGGATATTAAATCTTACCATCATAGTTTGAACTCATTCCCTCTTTAACTCTTTGCTTATGATTATTACATGAAAGTATAGTTATCCCACAGTATCTAAAGTACGAATTTGTTGATTTTACACATTGCAAAAACTCGCACCTACCGAAACTTACATTCTTTTTAGTACACAATATGTGGGAGTGGAAGTTCAAGTTCAAACACGCGATTTTTTGGTTGGAGATACAGGTCTAGTTACGGAAAAATAAACTCCTCTCATTGTCCACTCACCCTCACCTCCTTTCCTTTTCCACTGAGCTTGCAACCGCTCGCTTTATCATCGCACCTCTCTCTTTTCCAAATCTGAAATTATTTCTCCCTCTCGTTGTTCACCTACTCGCCTACCCCTACCCTGCATGCTGCACCCTCTCTTTCGATCCATTAATAAGTTTGTTCCAAAATCAATGGAGAGGGTGGGGGCAGCATCAAGTAGGGGGCCGACGTGCATTAAAATATTAAATTGACTATAACTCATCAACTTAATCTCTGGGTCGATTGACGATTTAACATAGTATAAGAGTAGGAAGTTCTGTGTTACTGCTTGTTGGGTCTTGTGCAATTTTCAAGTCCACAAACGGAGGGTGATTTAATAACAATAGATGACTTCGACCTGCGGGAGTGGTTGGATTGCACGATTTTGAAATCTAAGGACGTAATCGACAATTTTTGTTTGTTTTTCTGAAAAGTAACGTGAGAAAACTACAAATGGAAACACCCATCAAACATAACTTGGTCCTAGAAGAGGCATTTGGCCTTAGACAACAAAAGGCAAAGGCAAAGGCAAAGAGGGTTGGTGTTTGTGGGTGAGAATGCATCTTCAAAGCTGGAAGAGGGAAAGGCTATGTATGGTTATAGAGAAGTATTTTCAAAGAAAAAAGAAAGAAAAAAAGCTGCGGCTGCGCAAAGTACACCAAAACTTTGAACCGAAATGACAACTCCAAAAATGCACATGATTTCCTTCTGATTCTGAGATTCGGATTCCTGGAAAACCCACCAAAATACCAAAGGTCACACCACACATCTACCCTCCAACACCCTCCTACGCCAAAGGGGAACAGAACATCGTACAATACTATTTTGGTCTATATACTTTCAACTTTAGTTCATTCTAGTTTATGTAATTTTAAAATACTCATTTAGACCCGGATATGGGAGATATCAAAATTTTTTTATATTAAGCTCATCAGAAAGTTCGAACTTGAGACTTCATTGGTATTATGGCCAAGAGACTCCAAGTTCTTACCAACTGAACTGTCATTCGGGGGCGATCAATGTATTTTTAAAAAGTGACCATTTTGATCCCTTAATTTATTTTTATTAAAGGGTTTTCGTTATGTGTAGGATTTGTTTTAAGCTTTTGCAAATAGGGATCGAAATGACCACTTTTGAAAAGTACATAAATCAAGACGAACATTTTAAAAGTCTAGGGACTAGATCAAAACGAACCAAAGCTCTGAAGGTACGACAAAATATGATAACTTCTGAAACTATTCTTCAACATTGACTCCCATGTAAGAGCATACAGTGAACTTCCTAACATTTACCAGTCACCTGCAAACTATACATTGCCAAATATATCCTGATCCACAGTTCTAATAATCTATGCAGAAGAAATTAGAAATGGGTTATAAAGATCAGAGTTTGTAGAATCTATATTTGGTCAGTAGTAAAGTTTCATAAGCTTGAGTTTAAATAACATAAGTTTATAACTTTATATAGCTGGCTTGGCTAACAAACTTATATACTAAATATAAGCTCGACTATTTTTAAATTCTAGATTACGTTGAGTCTATCCTGTGAACCAAACACCCCTTAGGAATTGAATTTGATTTATAATGAGAGGAAGAGAACTAGTTAGAATGGGAAGTGATGGTTAGAAATGGGGTTGGGAAAGAACCAAACCAAAATGGTTGTGTTTTTGAGTAATTGTCAGAGGTAAAGCTGATGAGCCTGAGAATAGATGGTGGTTTATGTACACGAAATGCCAAACAGTGTCTTATATGTCACTACAAACTGCAAACTAACACATCAAAGAGAGCCACTACAAGTTTGCTCCCTGTCCTTCCACCTTACTTTATGCTGTTTTTCTTTTATGAATGGTTAAATTTTTGCAGTTTGAGCTTTAATTTTAATTTGAGAGAAGATTTACCTAAACCATTGATAGATGACTTTGACACCTTATACCATAGAATAATCCACTAGCAAGGAGGAAAGAATCAAACCTACGATCAGCTCAAACTTGATTTATAAGGTTGGGTTGGGTCATGTCGAGTTAGCACTGAGCACCTGAAACATTACCGATCACACACACATAACCACAAGTTAATTTAAATGTTTAAAGACTAAAAAGGAAAATAAATGAACTTGATAAATAGAAGGCTAAATTGCAAGAAAATATTCTTGAACTTTGCCTTTTGTTTCAAAAACTTCTATTCCTTCAAAGTTTTAAAACTACTATTGACCATTCATAAACGTTTCAAAAATACTCTTTGGACAAATATCTGTTAGTATTTTTAACAGCACGACAATTAACGTGAAAGCTTCTTCTGCATTTCCTCTCTTTTCGGACTTAGTTTGACTTAAAAGTCTTACAATAGAGTTTATTTCTCCATTGTCTACTCAATTTTATCTTTACTTCCCTATTTAAAAATGATAATTTCTTTCACATTTCTTCTCTTTTCAGACCTAATCCTTCCTCGTTAATTAACTCATCGTTCCATATCACATTTTCTCTCTTTTTTGCTACGTCGACTTTCCATTCAAAAATTAAAGTGAGACAGGTCGAGCTAACGATGTGGTTGATGGAGACGAGTGGAGAGTGTAATAGTGGTTAGCGATGCACTGTTTGTAACAGTGAGAGTGTAGAGAGAGAAATGTGTGAGAATATTTTGGGCCACCCAGCTGTGTGATATGAAATCTAGGCACAGTACGAAGACACCAAAAGACTTGTCCACTCCACTTGAAATGAAACCCCTTTCACTCCCACACACACATCAGCTACCTTGTCTTTTGCGTTCCTTGTCTCTCATGCATTGCTCTTTTGCACCCATAAGCCCACCCTTCCCCTTCCCTTTATAAATACTCCAACTTCTAACTTCGCTCCCATGCAAACTAATCTTCTGTTTCTTTGCATGCCCATGGAGCTCATTCTTGCATACCCTGCAATTGAAATTCTTTCAAAATAATATTTCTGTTTGAATGTTTTGTTAGTTTAAGAAGGCTCTGAGAAGAAGGAGCTCTCTTCAGTCCAGTCCAAGGCAGCCCTTTCGGTTGCAACTTAGCTGCTGACTTGTTGGCTCAATAACTCATCAGATGAATCCAGACAGTGATATGTTTCTGAACCAACAATGCAGGAGCCGAGTTCAGCCATGGCTGTCACGTCTTGGACTGAAGGGAGCTCCCTCGCCTTCCACTACCCTTGTTACACTCTACGTTAGCTTTAACTGATTAGCTTAGAAATTTTCATTCTCTTCTCTTTCAGATGGTTACAGATCCACAGAACTAATCTTCCTTTCTTTTTGTTCCTTTTCTTAAATGTAGATTGAAAGTAAGGAACTGATCCTCGTCATTGGATTTGAGAAGAGCATGCAGATGCTAGATAATCTGAGGACTCTTTCCCAGGTTCATTCTCAAAGATTTCAGAATCACCAGAATCAAATGAAAGATATAATGAAGCTCATTGGGAATCTTCATGTGGGTCACAGAGCTTGCAGGAAAATAATCAGGAGCAAGTTGTTAAAGGGACTTTAGTTTTTCTGTTTGAGCAGTTGAGCTTTAATATGCATGAAAATATGAAATGATATCAGTAAACAACTAAGTGAATGGTTCTATGTAACTTCAATCTATGTTATAAGTAACAGCAACTGAATTGTTATGACTATTCAAATTTGGGTAAAATTTTGAACTACGTGAAAGTTTGCTCACATGAAATAGTAAATGAAAAGAGGAAGAAATGAGCAGATGGGAGTATTTTGATGTTTTATAAAAGGAATTGATTAAATTAAGATATTGACAAGAGCAAATTTGGATGTTTTAAAACGTATGAATGAAATTAAAGAAAATTATTGCATGCATAGAACAACCTGAAGATATAACCTATTTGCTACGACTACGAATAAAAATATTCTAATAATTATATGTTGTATTACAATATAATTTTTTTTTACTAAAATTTTTTAAGCATTTGGGAAGCATGGAGTGAAGAATTTCTTCCTGTGGGAGTTTTGATAAAAATATTTATCCTCTGAATTGAAATTTTATGTTTTAGTAAAATGAGTATCAAATTAGTGAAAACTTCTCTTCTAATTATAATTTGAAAAGTCAAATCGAACATAGTTCAAATGAATAAGATATCTATCTCTGATCAAAAGGTCATGAATTCGAATCCTTACGAACAAATTGTATTTGTGTTCGTCGAAACAGATAAATATATAATTATGAAAATACATCGCTTGGTACTATCAAAATATTTATCTTGGTTTTCGTACTTCAAAAAAATAATTATTTTAATCTCTTTATTTTCATTTTTATCCAATAATATCAATCAAAATTTTACGATGAAATTTCAATAACTAAATTTTTTGAAATATAATTATAATTTTGTATTAAAGAGTATTTTTTTTCATCTCAATAACTAAATTTTTTGAAATATAATTATAATTTTGTATTAAAGAGTATTTTTTAATACATATAAGAGAATTTTTCATTTTTATCCAATAATATCAATCAAAATTTTACAATGAAATTTCAATAACTAAATTTCTTGAAATATAATTATAATTTTGTATTAAAGAGTATTTTTTAGTACATATAAGAGAATTGGAACACACGACCTTTTGATAAGAAATATATATCTTTAACTAATTGAACTATGTCCAGATTGGTGTCAAAAGATTTTTATGTGTATAAAATTTGTGTTAAAATTTTAAAAATAGAGACCAAAATGAATCAAAATTGTTATTTTGAAAATATATGAATCAAAATGAACAAAAGCGGACCAATATAGTTTTTTTTTTGGTTGATAACCGAGAGACGAGCTTTGCTCCCCTGTACCTAAAGGTCAGAGCATCCGTACCCACCCAAGGCCAAAATCCAGGATACATCAAGGATTTTTTTTTGTATTGAACTCACCCAAAAATGGAGCTTGAGACCTCTCTCTCAATGTGATCAAAAGACCTCAAGCTCTGACCAACGAAGCCGCCATTTATCAGCATGAAATTAGTGTTTAAACCTATAAAAAAGGGTGGTATGTGAAAAAATATCGATATTGTACTTTAATATATGCTGCCTTTTTTCCCTCATAAAAGATGCCATACTTACCTAATATGTTCAAGAACTATTACCATTAAGAGAGAGAGATGGAGAGGCTTCAGCACGTAAAAAGAAAACCACTGTGATACTAACCTGCTATTCAATTTGAGGTTAAAAGGTGTTAGTTTGAACTTTGGAGTGCAGATTTCATAATGATGCACAGTTCATCCATGCTCTGTAACCACAAGTCATCCTTCATCCTCTCCAAAATGGAAACCTCATCAAAATTATTATTACACATTAAATTCATAACTCAATTTAAGCATTGAATGCAAAATAACTGCATTGTCACATTCTACACCTACAACAGCTTATTAGTTAACTTAAGTAAGCCTACAGCCTACAGGCCCTCCTTTTATTGCCATGACATCTCCTTACTTAGCACCTGTATGAGATGAACTAATGAATAGCAGCACATCTAAGAACAATTAACAGTTAATGCCTAAATAATTACAAACCTTCTAGGATAAATGGTCGGATTTGATCAATTGGAGGTGTTTCAAAACCGTCGTCCTTTGATTCAACTTGATCAAGAGACGGGAGTGCCTCAGGCTGCGTTTCTTCCATGTTGTCATTATCGACGGATTCGATTTGTAGGTCTTCCTCAGGCTGGGTTTTGTCTGTGTTGTCAATATCAAATGATTCGATTTGCAGATCCGACAGTATTTCGTTAAGAGGCGGTGGCTCAAGCTGCTGGTATTTGGGCTTGTTTTTTTCTAGGAGAAGGTAAGTGGTGTAATACCAGAAAATAAGTATTCTACTTTGAGCAATCAATGTATCCGTAATGCGGCTTCGACCAAAAGAGAGACGTTCAAGTGCCTGCAAATCAGAGAAAAATAAAGTAGTTAGGTTGGAAATGCGTTTTATTGTCTTAAATGCTGAGAAATAGACCAATTATGTAAAGTTATATATAGGAGTGGCTCAGTTTTTCCCCACAATACCAGTTATTAGTAATTAGATAAGAAATTGGTTAGTATGGATTTGTTATAAATATGGTGGGGAAAGAATGAAACGAGAATTTAGTATGGATTTGTTATAAATATGGTGGGGAAAGAATGAAACGAGAATTGATTTAGTTGGTTTATGATTGAATGATCTGAAAGAGAGTTCCAAGTACCTCGAATTGCTTGGAGATTATTGTAGTCCTCATATCATCTTTCAATATATTTCAGCTATTTGGTTCGTATTAGATTCCTAGGGACTTAAGTACCATGCAGAAGGTAATTAACTAAAACCACAGTTTTCAATGACTCAATTATTTCAATATCTTACACTATACTGAAGATTCCAAACTCAACTCAAGTTAAAACTTGAAACAATAAAGTTCATGCTCTCGCCTACCTGTTCTCCAGTTTGAATATCAAATGAATGCTGACAATCAAATTGAAGACCTTTAAACTCATTGATGCAAAGCCCTTGGAAGGCCCTGGAAGATGAAAGGTCACTAAAGTCGTAAGAAACAATGCAAAGATAATATTGAAATTTAACATGACATCCAAAACCTTTTACTGGATCTCACACTTACCATCTTATAAGAGAAACACTAGGAATCCAACGAAAGATAATGGGTGTGTTGTCTGCATTGACATAATAGCCACCAAATACAATAAAAACTGTCATGAGCGAGGGTCCTACTGCCATCGCTGCTTCTGTGCTAGGAACCATAGCCCCTACAGTGAGACCCATAGCAGACGCAGCAAAAGATTCAACAGTGACAATACTGCAGAACTTCCCAAATCTAGAAAATGCAAAAATTCCAAATCCGAACGATCAGAAAGAGTTCACAGTTCAGCTATTGGCCTTATTAAACACCCAAGTTCGAGGATGAAATTCACGAAGGCAAATTTT